CGATCAGCCATGATCGTATTGTATTAAGGGCGGGCTTGAAGGATCGAATGGCGTATTCCTGCTTCTGTGCTCTATATTTCTATGTCTACCCTCTCAGGTGCTTGTAAAAGGTCCCATGGAAATATTTTAAAGAGCAGGGGTGTCTTTCACAGACATGAAAATGACCTAATAATCTAGCTGCCTGTCAATCAATATTATAAAACCAAATTATCTGGTAATTTTCACAGATAGACATGAGGGTATTCAGGCATGAGCAGTAGGAAGACAAATACTTTCCACAAACAAGCAATTACACGAAGTATTGAAAAGCTTTGGCTTAAAGTGTTAATTTAGTTTAAACATGAGGTGCTGCATTTTGGAAAGGCAAATCAGGGTAGAACTTATACACTTAATGGTAAGTCCTGGGGAATGTTGCTGAACGAAAAGACCTTGGAGTGCAGGTTCATAGTTCCTTGAAAGTGGAATCGCAGGTAGATAGGATGGTGAAGAGAGCGTTTGGTATGCTTGCCTTTATTGGTCACTGCATTGAGTATAGGAGTTCATGCTGCGGTTGTACAGGATATTGGTTAGGCCACTTTTGGAATACTGCATTCAGTTCTGGTCTCCCTACTATAGGAAAGATGTTGTGAAACTTGAAAGGATTCTGAAAAGATTTACAAGGATGTTGCCAGAATTGGAAGGTTTGAGCGATAGGGAAAGGCTGGGGCTATTTTCCCTGGAGCGTCGGAGGCTGAGGGGTGACCTTACAGAAGTTTGTAAAATCATGAGGAGGCATGGATAGGGTAAATAGACAAGGTCTTTTCCCCAGGGTGGGGGAGTCCAAAACTAGAGGGCATAGGTTTAAGGTAAGGGGGGAAAGATTTAAGAAGTCCCTCAGAGGCAACTTTTTCATGCAGAGGATGGTGCATGTATGGAACGAGCTGCCAGAGGAAGTGGTGGAAGCTGGTACAGTTACAACATTTAAAAGGCATCTGGATGGGTATACAAATAGGAAGGATTTAGAGGGATAGGGACAAAATACTGGCAAAGGGGACTAGATTTATTTAGGATATCTGGTCAGCATGGATGAGCTGTACATCTCTATGACTATGAATGAGTTTCTTGCTTATGTGCTGTTATCTTTCATGGCATCACAATTCTGCAGTGTAGAATATTACTCAAAAGGGAAAGGGAGGGTGAACAAACCCCAAGCTCCCTGAATGGAAAAGGAGATAGAAATTTAGAATAAAGTGTGCTATGACAGTCTTCAGGTAGAAAGTACAATTGCAAACCAAGGGGAATACAGAAGGTTCAGAGGGGAGATGAAAAAGTATTTCAGCAAAAAGGGATTACGAGAAAAGAAAACATAAAGAATCTCAAAGTCATCTATAGGCACTTCAGGTGAAAGGATTAGAGTTGATTAGGGACCGAAAAGAGGATTTACATATGGGAGCAAGTGGCGTGACTGAGGTGTTAAATGAATATTTGCACCTGTTTTTACCAAGAAGCTACCCAAGCTGTTGTGACCAGAAGGTTTGAAATTGATAAAACACCAGAACTACATGAGATGCGTCCTAGGATATTGAAGGAAGTCAGCATGGAAATTGCAGGGACACTTGACATAATTTTTCAGTCTTCACTAGACTCAGGGGAGGTGCCAGAAGACTAGAGAATTGCAAACGTAGGGCAAATCGCAAATAAGGGCAAATGCCCTTATTCGCAAAGGTTAAGCTAAACAATTACGGACTAGTTACTTAAACTTCAGTGGTCAGAAAACTTCTAGAAACAATTATTCAGGAAAGAATTAGTAGTCACATTGAAAAAAGTGTGTTGATTGGGAAAAGCCAGCATGAATTTCTAAAGGGGAAAATCAGAAAATTGCTAGAATTTCTTTTTGAAGAGCGAACAGAAAAGGCTGATAAAAGTAAAGCTGTTCATGTGCGCATGCACATCCAGATGACATTTGATAACCAGGGCGCACAGCAGACGTGAAAAAAATCTATAGCTCATGGAACAAGAGAGAGACAGTAGCAACAGTGTTACAAAATTGGCTTACTGATAGGAGAGAGAGAGAGAGTGTAGTGGTCAATGAATATTTTTGGGCTGGAGCAAGGTTTGTGGTGGAGTTTCTTAGAGGTAGTTTTGGGACCCTTACATTTCCTGATAGATATTGATCATCTAGATCTTGGTGTGCTGGGTTCAACTTAAATACTTGCAGATGATACAAAACTTGGAAGCATTCTAAGTTGTGAGGATGGCAGTGTAGAACTCCAAAAGGACATAGACAAGTTGGTGGAGTGAGCAGGTGGATGGTAAATGAAGTTCAATGCACAGAAGTGAGATGTGATGTACTTTGGTCAGAAGAACATGGACAGAAATACAAAGTAGGGGATATGATACTTAAAGAATGCAGAAGTAGAAGGACCTGGGTATATATGTACATAGACCAGCAAAGGTGGCAGGACAGGTGGAGAGTGCAGTCAATAAAGCATATAGTATCCTGGGTTTTTTATAGAGTACAAAGCAAGGAGGTTATGCTGTGACAGTAGTTAGAAATTAGCTGAAACATTGTGTACAATTCTGGACACCATTCTGTAGGAAGGATGTGAGTACATTGGAGAATCTAGAGAAGGGATTTCTAAAAAAAAAGTTCAAAGGATAAGAAACTTAAGCTGTGGGGATAGAATGAAGAGATTGGGACTGTTCTCCTTGGAGGCAAGAAGGCCAAAAGAAGATTTATAGAAATGTTCAAATTAAAAGTCTGGATAGGATAGCAAGAAATTTGTCCCCACTTGTAGAAGGATCAAGAATGAGAGGGCGCAGATTTCAGTGATTTGCAATGTGCAACAGCTTGGGGGAAAAGGCAAGATGATAGCACTGAACCATAATGCTATTTGGATAACTACTGTAGATATGATGGGCCAAATGGTCTTCTGCACTGTGGCTATTCTGTGATACTATGTGCCCATCTTCTGGGATTCTGCCACAATGTCCTAATAACAGGAGTCAATGTTACCTGTATTTGGAACTTTTGTGGAAGCTCAAATGGCTGCAATAAAGCTTTGCTTTTGAGAACAATTTATCTACTTTGGCCAGGTTAGTTGACACGGGGTCACTCATCTTCTATAATGTGCAGTCAACAAGATCAGTGAAAGTGCTGGTGCAAATCTCACAGGAGCAATGTTGTTGCTACAGGTGGGGTTTATATTGTCCTGTAATGATCCGTGAATGTCTGATCCTTACCACATTCCTAACTTCTATCCAAAATAGTGTCAGTATGGAAGCTGGAACAGGCAGCAGCTGAAATGCAGTTCCGCCGTCACATCATGAGAATCTCAAGGATCACAATATCTGAAACAATAGCCTTCCAACAGTTTGGCTGAGGCCAGTACAGCACTACTGTTTGGAGTAGTAGACTCTAAACATTTTTGGAAAAAAAAACACACATGCTTTTCACTGGTATGTGAAATAAACTGATTGAAATTATTGTACTGGAAATTAATAATTTTAATCATTTCTGACTGATTTAGTGCTGTTATGGAAGCGTCCATGTCTGTACTGTATCAATACATCGTTGAAATATAAGTTAACTTAATGAATGAGTTCTTCAAGGCAGGTTTAAAGGGAATGGTGAAGGATGTAGTAAGTATTATAAATGCAGAAGGGCATCGTGTAACATTTCAAGGCAGGATAATAAGCAGTCAGAGGAATTGCTATGCATTTATGTCCTCCCTTTCATACTTTGCTTAAAAGGTGCTTACTGTTTCCTCTATCTGCTAACTCTTCATCTTCATCTTAGATTTCCTAGTCTGATGAAATTTGCTGCTCTGCTTCTTCTAATTTCAGTCCTCCAGTCTTGTTGGATTTTTTTTTTTTTTTTTTTAAACAGGTTTCAGCATACCACTCCTGTGGGAAACTCTGTGGGACAAATAGTATGGAGGCCCCAGTCATGTCTGGCTAGTTTAACCCAAGTTTCAGGAACTTTATGTTTTGGTAACACTCATTCAGCAATGATTCTATGCCCTTCAATGTACAGGCAAGATGGGGTTGAGAATGGGTTTCATTAGCGTCTGTCCCAGCTGTCATTCACTTCAATGGAAAAGACAATAGGTAGGGTGTAATGTGGCTGATTGGATTGCTGTGGAGAATGCCAACATGGAATCAATGGACAGAACGTCCTCTTTTAGTGCCCATAAAGATTCCACAATGAGTGACTAATCTGTTATTGCCTGTTTTGCATCCGAGTCAATGTTGAAATTTAAAATATGGTCTCAGTAGAGTGCTGCAGAACTGCTGATACTCAGACTGTGGCACCCTGCATTGTGCAAAATTTATCTTTGGTAATAATGTCATTTCAGTCAGTTAACATAAATTGTACCAAAATCAAGCAGTGGGTTATCTAACCTCACCTTGTCAAATACTGCTGACAACCATTAAAATTATCCTGCTCCTGAAGGGAGATTAGAAGGAGCAAAGGTATTATTGTCATACCATGTCCAACCTGGTGTTCATAATATGCTGTCAGTCAGCAGTATTTTCTCTCTTTAAGCTGTAGTCATGCATATCAAAGGGAATTAAATTCAGTGCTCCTCATGCAAGATGGTTTAATAATTTAAACTGCTACCAAGACGTTCACAAGCTGAAATTACAGGGCTGTTTATTTCTCATAAAGCATTTTTGTCTCAGTTAGGTCAGTATCAACAGGTTTATATGTGCTTGTTGAATGAAGGTATAATCAGCAAAAGGAGTCAAGAAGTAATATTTTCCATTCTTCCAGCCCGTTTAAACTAACCCTAATGCTGATTAACCACATTCTGTTATTGGAGACCAGAGTCAATGTCAGGGACTCCACTTTCTCACTTGAAGGATGATGTCTGACACCCAGGTTAGAAAGGAATGGTGAGAAAATAAAACAAAACAGACCAATGGAATATTGGACTACATCATATATAGATTGTTTTCACAATGCTTGAACATGAACATCATTACACATTATATCACGAGAAAGGTTGAATACTTACAGCTTCTACCAGACTGTCTGCACTCCCTCGTTTGTCATAATATCGTTGTAAGAAGTTATTGGGAACAGCTAGATTTGATGGTGTATAGATTTTGTAAGGAATGTCAATATCGTCGGTATACCAAGAGCTCCTGCTCATTGAGGGAGGATTACTATTCATATTTTCTCTGGATTCAACACGATCTACACGGATCAGAGGAGTGTAGTATGGAGAGCGCTCTTTGCTGGGTGGTGTAGCAGGAGGTGTTGCCCATGACCGTGTTGATCGTGCTGGTGACAGTCTTCTACTTTTGTAAGAATCCATTCCTGCCACAGCCATAACCTATTTATTCATAGAGAGAGAAATTAATTGTACAAATATAATCACAGAATCCATCATTTTTTATAATTGTACAGAAAAATAAACATGAATCGAAGTTTAATAGATGGTTTCCCAATCCCGTTGCAATACATTGCCACTATAGTCAAAGAGAAATTTAAAGCACCAGCAGTCACTGTAAATTACTGAAGCATTTGGTTCTGAATTTAATTCATGGAAACTTCACCTTATCCCGTGCTGGCAAAATATCTGTCAGTGTGTAAACAGTAAGATGATCCACAGAATGAATCTATGACGCTTCCTACTATCACTGACTTTTTTTTACTACTCACTTTTCCCACAGGTCTCATGCATATAAGTTGTCTTGAATTGTGGCGCCAAAGTGAAGTAGTGCATTTTACACATGACCAGAGTTTATTTACTATTGCAGTTGAGTTCTCTATTGGTAAAGAAACACTATTTACAATGCCATATGTAGAGAGATAAATAGAAATTTGAGTTATTGTTTTAAAATTGATGATTTAGCTTTGACTCTCCAGTTTATAACATGCTTGAACAAGTTGATGTATAATGAATCTGAGTTCTGAGCAAATTTACTCTCTGTTCCTGTAATTGTGAGCAGATTGGAATAATGTTATATATATATATATGTTTTTAGAAACAGGAATAGGAAGGAGGGAGGCGGGGGAGGTGATGGGCTAGTGGTATTATCGCTGGACTGTTAATCCAGAGACCCAGATAACGTTCTGGGGACCTGGGTTTGAATCCTGCCACTGCAGATGGTGGAATGCATATTCAATAAATATCTGGAATTAAGAATCTAACAATGACAGTGAATCCATTGTCGGAAAACCCATCTGGTTTGCTAATGTCGTTTAGGAAAGGAAACTGCCATTCTTATGTGGTCTGCCTTATGTGTGACTCCAGACCCACAGCAATGTGGTTGACTCTTAACTGCCCTTTGGGCAATTAGGGATGGGCAATAAATGCTGCCTAGCCAGCGATGCCCCTCATCCCGTGAATGAATAAAGAAAGAAAAAGGAACAAATCTGAGGATCGGGCGGGTTGTAGAATTCATCAAAAGAGGATCAAGGAACTGATAAAGGAAAAATAGACCATAATCTAAACTAGGAAAAGGCTTGAAAACAAACTGTTTGTAAAAAAGAAAATGTTTGACTAAGATAAACGTGGGTCCATTACAGGTAGAGTCAGCAGAATTCATCACAGGGAACAGAGAAATGGCAGAGATACCAAATTGTTACGTTATGTTGTTTTCACTGAGGAAAATACATGAAATTTACAAGAATTAGAGACCAGTAGGACTAGGGAGAATGTGGAATTGACATATATTAGTAAAAAGGTTCTTCTGGAGAAATGAATGTAACTGAAGATTGATAACTCCACCTGACCTGATAATATCAGCATAGAAACATTGAAGACAGGAGCAGGAATAGGCCATTTGACCCCTCAAACCTGATCCACCATTCATATGATCATGGCTGATCATTGAGCTCAATATTCTAATCCCCCACCCCGGCCATCTGTTGACCCCTTTAGCCACAACAACTATATCTACCACCTTTTTGAGAATACAGTGTTTTGGCCTCAACCACTTTCTGTGGTCGTGAATTCTACAGGCTCACCAGTCTCTGGGTGAAGAGGTTTCTCTTTACCTTAGTCTTAAAATGTTTACACCTCATCAAGGGCAGCACAGTGGCTCAGTGGTCAGCACTGCTGCCTCACAGTGCCAGGCACTCAGGTTTGATTCCAGCCTCGGGCAACTGTGTGTGGAGTTTGCACATTCTCCCTGTGTCTGCATGGGTTTATTCCAAGAGCTCTGGTTTCCTCCCACAGTCCAAAGATGTGATGGTTAGGTGGATTGGCCATACTAAATTGCCTCATTATGTCCAGGGAGGATGTGCAGGCAAGGTGGATTAGCCATGGGAAATGTGGGGTTACAGGGATAGGGTAGAGGGTAAGTCTGGGTGAGATGCTCTTTGGAAGGTCAGTCTAGACTCGATGGGCTGAACGGCCAGCTTCCAAGTTGTAGGGATTCTATGATTATCCTTAAACTAAGACCCCTGGTTCTTGACTCCCCCATAATCCACATTCCAGAGTGTTGAAAGAGGTAGCCGTGGATATAGTAGACATATTGGTGATCACCTTCAAAATTCCATAGGTTCTGGAAGGGTTCCTACAAATTGGAAGCTAGCAAATGTTAGCCCACTATTTAGGAGGGAAGGAGAGAGAAAACAGAGAACTACAGGCCTTAAATCTTATATCACTAGTAAGAAAAATGCTAGAGTATTATAAAGGATGTGATAAATATACACTTTGGATAATTATGAAGTGATTAGAAATAGCATGGATTTGTGAATGGGAAATTGTGTTTGACAAATCTTTTTTTGGAAAATGTTACCAACAGAATTGATAAAGGGTAATGGGTGGCCATAGTACACTTCGATTTTCAGAAGGCGTTTGAGAAAGCGCCCCACAAGAGATTGCTTAATACAATTATAACAAATGGGATTAGAGGCAATGTACTAGCATGGATTAAAGATTAGCCAACAGGCAGAAAACATGGAGATGGTTATAAATGTGGTCATCCTTGCATTGGCAGGCTGTGACTAATGGGGTACCACAAGAATCATACTTGGGCACGAGATATTCACAATACATACTAGTGATTTGGACATGGAGACCAAATATGATATTTTCAACTCATGGATGACACAGAACTAAGTGGGAATGAATGTTGTGAGGAATTCACATTTGGTCTATAACCCTTTAAACCCTTCCTATTCATGTACCCATCCAGGTTCCTTTTAAATCTTGGAATTGTACCAGCCTCCACCACTTCCTCTAGCAGCTCATTCCATATATGCACCACCCTCTGTGTGAAAAAAATTGTCCCTCAGGTCTCTTTTAAACCTTTAACCTTAAAACTATGCTGTCTAGTTTTGGACTCCCCTACCTTGGGAAAAAGACCTTGACTATTCACCCTATCCACACCCCTCATAATTTTATAAACCTCTATAAGGTCACCCGTCAACCCCCGATGCTCAGGAAAATAGCCCCAGCCTGTTCAGCCTCTCCATATAAAAAGCTCAAACCCTCCAACCCTGGCAACATCCTCGTAAATCTTTTCTGCATTCTTTCAAGTTATAGCAGGAAGACCAGAATTGAATGCAGTATTCCAAAATTGGCCTAAACAATGTCCTGTGTACCCGCAACATGACATCCCAATAATTTTTTTTATTGCAAAAGCATTTGAGTACAAGTGTAGTAAAGACTTGCATCAATTGTATAGCACTTAGTTAGACTGTACTTGGACTACTGTATATAGTTTTGATTCCCTAACATTTGGAATGATACTATTGATACAAAGGGATTGCAACAAAGGTTCATCAGACTAATTCTTAGGATGGCGGGACTGCCAGTGAAGGGGGATTGGGGAAGCTAGACTTGTAGTCTCTCGAGCTTGAAGAATGAGAAGTTAACTTACTGAAAACTGCAAAGTACTTAAAAGGATAGACAGTGTTGATGAAGGCTAGATGTTTCCCCTGGTTGAGGAGTCTAGAACCAGAGGACACAATTTCAAAATATGGGTAAGGCTACTTAGGACTTAGATGAGAAGAATTTTGTTTTACTCAGAGACTTGTGAATCTTTGGAATTCTCTATGATTAACAGTTTCCTTAATGACTGTGAAATAAAGGGATGTGGGAGTAGTGTGGGAAAAACGTATTAAAGTGAATGATCAGGCATGATCATATCGAATGGCAAAGCCATCTCAATGGGCTGAATAGCTTACTCCTATTCCTATGTTTCTTTACATAATGTACAATTTTCATTGTAAAATGATTGGTAGAGTTTTATGATAGAAAACGTGCACTTAAGTAAAAAAAAATGTGGCGCAGCTTACTGAGAGGCCCAGGTTCAAGTCTTAACTGCACCAGAGGTGTGTAATAACATCTCTGATCAGGTTGATTAGAAAAGTAGGTTTTAAAAAATGGTGCACAAGACATATATGATCAAAAGTTACTTTCCTAGCTACTGGATGCTTTAACGAATTATGTTTTAATTATTTTGTGATGTATCATTTGTTATACACCACATATAATGTGCTAGAATTTATTTTCCCCTCCATTATTCGTCAATTTCCTTGTCTCATGAATATAGTGATTCCTCACTGGCATCATTACTTCTACAATTTCAAGCAAATACAATTCTTGATATAATAAGGTAGACTTGAGCAAAGGCTACAACATAAGCAAGCCTGCTTCTGCTTGCATATCTATGCACACAATTTCACATCAGCTCCATCTGACCAGGTACATCATAAATGTGATGAAAAAGTGAATTAACCTGGCTTGTTGTAATTCTGTATTATTCAGCTTTTCACCACCATAACTTAGTGAGGAAACTTGTTGAAAACAGTCCTGGAAAGAACTCTAGTATTGGCAGCAATTTTACAATTGCATTTATCATCATCCTTAGTCATTTGAGAAATTTTGTTTGGTGAAGCAGTATATGATCATTTTCATATCAGATGAAGAATCAACAGATGCGTTGAATTCAAGATATTTACCTGGTGTTGCATTAAATGTAGTGGAAGAGCCGTACGCTGTTGGAATATAGGCGATAGTGAGACATCATCTTGACTATTTTGTCTGCGTAGACACTCAAAATTGAAAGAGGGCCTTCGATTTGCTGCAAAAACAAGTTTATTATAATGAGTAAATATAACAAAACTTATATTTTCATAGCACATTTAACACAATAAGATAAATCAAAGTTCTTCATCAGAGCATTGTAAAAAACAATGACAGCAAGCTAAGTAAGGAAATCAGATCACATGACCGAAAGCTTAATCAGAGGGTAAGTTTTAAGGACCATTTTGAAGGAAGAAAGCAAGTTAGAAAGATGTAGATAGGGAATTACAGAACATACGGCCTAGGCAGCTGAATGCAAGACCACCAATGGAAGAGCAATTAAAATCAAGGATGTTTAAGAGTTCAGAATTAGAATAGTATAATAATCATGGAGGACATTACAGAGGTGGTGAGAGGCAAGGCCACGCGGAAATGTGGAAAGAGAAGAATTTCAAAAACAAGGCATTGCTCGATCAGGTGTCAATGTAGGTCAGTGAGTACAGGGATGATAGAGAAATGACACTTGATATGATTTAAGACATGGGAGGCAGAGTTTTGGATGACCTCAAGTTTACAAAGGGTGGGAATGTGGGAAAGCAGCAAGGACTGCTTAGAATAATGAAGTCATCAGATAACAAAGGCATGAGTGAAGGTTTCAGCAGCAGGTATAAGCTACGATAGGAGCAATATTTTGGAGATGAAAATAGGTAGTCAAAGTGATAGCACAAATGCTTGGATGAAAGCTCATTTCAGGCACAAATATGACACTAAAGTTGCTAACAGATTGGCTTTGTCTCAGTCAGTTGCCAGGGAGAGGGATAGAGCCTAGTCCAAAGAGTTAACATCAGGATACAACCAAATTACTCTTGCAAAAGCAAATTAAAACAAAACTGAAGCGACAAGTAATAACAATGATGAGTGACAAAACCAAAATGAAATGACGAAGTGGACTTCACTTTTTAAAATGCCAAGTCATTGTCAGAGCTGAGCATTGGACAGTCCATCAGAGTGAAAATCTTCAAAGCTCTCAACCATGTGGCAATTGGGACTTGTGCCAAGCAACTGTCAGTTCAATCAAATGCGGTGAATGTATATTGTTGCAATTACTGACATATATATGAACAACTACAGCAGCTGTGCCTCCGCTGTCAGCAATTCATCAAGAAGATGTGAATTCATCACCAGAGCACAGTATAAAATGACACCCTCAGAGGTCCAAAGAAATGGACCAGCAACAGTTACTATTGCATGGCACTCACCATGGGTATAGCACTGCCCAGAGAAGAAATATTATCCAAGGAATAAGAAAATGCCAGGTGAACAGAGATCGACAAATGCATATGGGCCATTAGGAGACCAGAACAATTTTAAGACTAAGTTTGCAATGCACAAACTTGCTTTCTGGGTTCTAGAGATTAAGCAGCAGCAGGAGTCACTGAAGTGCATCCATGAGGCAGAGAACTGGGTGGCTAGCACATCCAGAGGGGTAGTTACACTGCAGATTAGGGGCATGCAGGTAGACAGGGAATGGGGTGATCGCCAGGTGATCTAAGAGAAACAGAAGGTAGTGCAGGAGCCCCAGGGTCCAGCTCACTGATTGGCTTTCCATTCTGGATATCTGTGAGAGGGATGCACTGTTGGAAGAGTGCAGTAAAAGCCAAATCCATGGCACCACAGTTGGCCCAGCTGTACAGTAGAGGAGGAACAGTTAGGGGAACAGACTGGTGCTTCTGTGACCTTCAATGTGACTCTTATAGTAATAGAGACATACGGCACAGAAACAGACCAAATGGTTTATTACCTCCTTGGTGCTAGGATCAGGGATGTCACAGGATGGTTGTAGGACATTCTTCTGGGAGAGGGCAGACAGTCAGAGGTCCTGGTCCACATTGGTACTAACGATGCAGGTAGGAAGAGGGATTTGATTCTGCAATCTGAATTTGGGGAGCTAGATAGAAAACCAGCAAACAGGAACTCTTAAAAGTAACCATCTCCGGATTACTCTTAATGCCACATACAAGTAGACTTCTGAAGAAAGTTACAGGTCATGTAATCAAAGGGACAGTAGCAATGTAGATACAAAATTGTCTAAGTATTAGACAGTAATGATTTAATGGGTTTTTTTTGGTTGGAAGAAGATTTGTCATGGAATTCCCTAGGTGTCAGTTCTGGGACTCTTGCTTCTCCTGATGTATATAAATGATCTAGATCTTGGTGCGCAGGAGCCAATTTTAAAGTCTGTATGACACAAAACATGAGAGAATTTTAAATTTAATAGGACAATGTAGAACCAATGTATATTGCGTAACTGGCATAACTTGTAACTGCAAGTGACAGCACATGCCAGTTTCTTTATAAAAATGGGGACTGTCTGTGTCAGCCATTAAACTTCAAACACCTAACACCCTGTCCACAGGAATTCTTTACTGAAGCTGTTTGTCTCTTGCTTTTATAGAATGTTCTTAAAAATAACTTGTCTTCATTACACCTCTATCGGATTCCATCCTTCGCTTTTTGCTCATGTAAAGCATAGCACGTACAGTCCAAGACCCTACACACAATGCTGTTAATACTGTTTGTACGGATACAAATCTGTTTAAAAACTGGGATAATGCCAGTTCTTGGAATTGTGAGAATAATTCAGTTGAGAGCAAGCCTTCTGCTCTTGCAGAAGAATATTTTATTCTCCAAACTGAATGCAAATACCAAACATAAGTAGTGGCAGAGCCATCAGTGGTGGCTTTACATGTGCAGTATGCCGCTTTTCATTTATGAAAAAGGTGATAATAATGACATGGTTAATTGAATCTAAAACTTGATCAATTTAAAAAACCTCCTGAATGTATATTTTGAGCAATTAAAAGAGAAAAGCCCTCTTACTGGTTTGTAACTATACACGATGTGTGGAAAATGAAGCAGCCTCTAAGCATTCACCAGCTATTCCCTACGTTGTACAGAAATAAGTGTTTGTTTCCCCAGTTCATTGCATTTGCATTCAATTGGATTCCACTAGTTTTACTAACCAGTGAAAGACAAACCTTGTCTTTTTCTGAAATTTCTGGCAAGTCTTATGACTTTACAATGTTCATTACAATAGTAAAATTTCAATAAATTTGTGCCAAGAGCTCCTATAAAGTAAACTTACATTTGAAAACTTCAAATAGTATTTTTCAGTACTGTTTTGTCAGATTAGTCAATAAATAGAATGTGCCAATGTAAACATTAAAATGAATTAAACATGTACAAAAATGTTATTGAACTGGTCTAAGAAACTATTCACCTATAGGTGTTGGTGGAAGCAATCGTCGCTTAGGTGAGCGCCGGTATCCAGCATAACTGCTCGGCTCATCTTCCTCATAGTAACCACAGGGGTGATGGTAACCCTTTGGTCTTTCAAAATCCAGGTCATTACTTTGAATTTGATTCTGATAGTCACTATGTATTTGCCTTCGTTGCATAAAGAAAATTCGAAGAAAAGGAACATAATAAAACATTTTTCAGACAGTATACGGCTATTATCAGACTAACATATTTGAATTACAACTTATACTTTCTTGTAGTCTTGATTATGCACCACTAGGTAGATCTATCAATGACTGTTAGGGCTAACACTAACATAATTAATTGGCTTAATGTGTATGTTAAAATGTGCAAATGGTTACAAAAAAAACAAAAACAGTGAGTGCAATAATTGTACAGAGTGAATGTTGGCAGCCCTTGCTGACTTGTTGCACTTAGGCCAGCATTGGACCCAAAGATGACAGTGCACTTCTTCCTCTATAACACAAATTTGTGAAATGGAAATCTTATAAATCTTTTATTCTGAAAGAATCTGTTAAATTTATCGAGTTACACTTCCCTTAATTTTATTTTCACAAATGATATAACATGGAGAAGCAACCAATGTGATTGCTACCTGCAGCAAATATTGAAAATTAACTCCTGATTAATGTGAAAATGGTTTTAAAACTGATCATATATAAGCGGTGAGACTACTGATGCTTTCAATACGAAAGGAACTTTTATTTTTCCAAAATTGATTAACAAGATAGATACAGTCATGATGCAGTTATCTCACCTATCCACTGACTGCATGCTGTCTTCTTCATAATACTCCTCCCCACTAAAATATTCCTGATCTCCTGAATACTGCTCATCCTCAAACCAGTCATCTGGCTTTGGTTCCTCTTGAGAAACGGTAGGCACAAAACCATCACCTGAATCAGATCTATGGTAAATTAAAGCACAACATTAAAATACAGCTTGTTTTTTCCAAAAATTAGATTCTGCATTTTGATGTTACTGTTAATATATGCAATTCACAAATACAAATGCAATTAAAAATATCAAAACATTTTATGATTGTAACAAAATACTGTTAGGAAAACAATAATATTTCTGAAGGTATCAAAATTAATGCTTCAATATTTAAACTATAACAAATCAAAACAACTTTTAAGATTTAAAAAAGACATAAAATGCTGGAAATATATATCAGTACTGAGGAAGGGCCATTGAATTGAAACTATAGATCAGTTCTTTGCTTTAAAGATGCTGTCTGATCTGACTGAGTATTTCCAGCATTTTCCATTTCATTATAATTCCAAGGATTCACAATTCTTTGTTTTTGTACCATCAAAATAATATATTAAACGTATTATTATTTGAACAATTCAAATATATGTCAATATTAAAGGACATACCTAATGTTAGTTTCATAATACCGTGTTCTGGTCCAGAAAGTAGTTAGAAAAATAAGGTTAGAAAATACATTATATTTCAATATATTTCTAATTCCAAAATTGCTCTTTCACAAAAGCAACATTGACCTTTCAAATGAAACTGTAAAATTATGAAATCTATCAATAGTTATTGCCTGAAAACTGTTATTGTTAGTCTGTTGAGCATGTGGTCCCTAATCAGGTCAACAGCAACTTCTAGTTTTATTAAACAAGGTTATCAATCTGACAGCTAAGAATATTCTCTCAAAATCTTTTAGTTGTGAGTTGGTATTCTAGACTACCTGGCATCCTGTTACAAGTTACATTGCAAACATTTTGACAATGTTTGGCCAGGTTGTTGTTTGCTAGCAATTTACCTCAACAGTATAAAGTATTAGTACATTCCATCTTTTCCACAATAAATGCATATCTAATTGTCAAAGAATAGAACAGATTTAGCATTGATGCTGTGAAAAATCTTGCAATGCAACTACATCCCTCTTTGATCTTCCTCTGTCTCTTTATGAACACTGTTGTTGTCTCAGGGTTGCTAATCGCGGCCCAATGATGCCATGATATCACAATGGAGAAAGTAGAGGCAAGCCCCAAGAACTTGCCTAATCTAGTAGAAGAATAAACCTATGTCATGGTGAAAGGTCAAGGTGGAGTTATGGTTCCTATGAATTGTAGAGCAGGTTCAAAGACCCAAATGTGTTAATTCATACTTCTATTTATTGTGATTTTATATTTAAACCACTTCAGCAAATCAGTGCTCCAATAATATGCCATGGAGTAGTGGGATGTTATATACTATTTCTCAGTTAGTGTATACATGGGATTGACACTTCCCTACTATCTCAGCCAAAGTGACAACAAGCACAGAGGAGGATTGTGTGATGATATCTTTATGGTGCATCAACATTGTCCATCACCCAAAAATAATATAATATGATATGATATGAAATGAGAAATCGGAGTGTTTTGAAACAGACAAAAATGACTCAATTTGAGTAAATTTGGATTTGAAACTCAGATTTGCATTTTCAAGTTTTAAAAACAACATCTGTTGGTATAATACTTATTAATGTGTAGCTGCATTTTGAAAAACGTTATCTGAAAGATAATGAAGCAAAATTTTCCTTTTGAAAAGGTTAAGTTCCATGACAAAATAGGCTCAAGGCATCATCCTAACATTGCAGAATAGGAGGCCATTCAGCCAATCAAGCACCTGCCAACTCTCTGCAAAAACGATTTAGTAAGCCAAACTGCCTTTCATTTTCTTTGTGGATAAGTTTTCAGAAAATTCATTCTTCTCGTTTGTTAAATTAATTTTAGAAGTTTGTACGCAGCTGCATAATTTGTGAAACTGATCGTATGTCAATCTTCAGAGAGTGCATAGGACTTTTTCTACACCCAATGAAAAGGTAACAGGATCTCAGTTTAGTCTTTCAACTCAAAGGCACCAGTTCCAATAATGACTGGGCTTGTCACTAGCCTCCATATTCTAAAGTTAAGTAAAAGTACCATGAACTGAGGCAACTGTACATGTCAAAATGAAAGTTTGTTAAATGCATGTTTGTAAATGCACAGCTCCTCTCAATGCATTTCTAAATGTTGTATTTAGTATTGTACAAAATGGATTCTCTAGGTGAACAAAGTATTACTACCTGCTGAGATTTTAAGTGCAAGACTGACCTTTAATGAAACGTAATTAATGGCTACCAAATGTTAGGGTGTCATTGCTGATACTCACAAATCTATATTCATGGTTGAAACTACCTAGTAATTACAGTATATTAAGCTGCCACGGTAAGCATAAGTCACAGACTCATTTTAAGCCAACTGATGTAATTTGTGTTTAACACAGGCAATAAATCTTCTACTTGGCAATATTTCAATCTTGGAAACTGTGGTGAATTTACAAAAGCAAAATTACCATTTTACCATTTTAAATTTCAAACTGATGCAAGTTCAACTGGCCTTTCATTAACCCTTGGTTTGGTTGATGTGCATTTCATGGAAGTCCTCAATCTCTTTCATGGGGCTAATACCCTAATATTGACATTTTTAACAGTTGCATCTTCAGTTGGGATTGCAAGCAAAAAGTTTGTACTGCAATACTTGCAAAAATGACATCGTAGATTTGATGAATTAATGATTTGGTTAATATTATAGAAACAGTGGAGAAAGGGACTGTTGTGTATGGGAAAAACTCAATCTCCACAAAAATAACTTGTACAGCTAAAAGGGATAAACAAGAAACCAGGATCTAAGTTTAGAATAACATGATTGATTTGCAGGAAGCTATCATGTTGGAAAATGCTTTTAAAAATGTTGCAATGAAACTACCCCCAAAGTTCTAACCTGCTAACTAGCAATATCAATTGCCATTCCTGCTCTGTTTCAAGACCAGCCAGCCAAGGCGATTAGCAACTGTAAATGTGATGGCAGTGGTATTGCCAACTCTTCTTCAAACAACTACAGGTTTAATTACAGATTTACATTTTAATTACAGATGTAATAACTGATTAGCATGGCAAATGATCATTAAGCTGGACTGCAAGAAAATACACCACCTGCTGAAAAGCCAAATAATCATCTTAAATTGGAATTCAAATGGGTGACGTATGAGAGCGCAGACAGCACTATTTCTACTACTGTAAGCAATGACCTGACGCCAATTTCTGGTGAGGTTATCATCTTGAATCCTAACTCTCACTGCCCAATGCTTTGTAATATTAGTGTCTTTATTACTTTTCTGTGACTGTATTTTTGTGAGACAGATCCTGTCTTACAGTATGATTTAATGTCACACAATCAAACATAATTAAACCTTTCAAAAATATTTCCTTTTCTTCATGTTGTAGTTTTACAGGAACAGCTTAGCTATGGCACAGTTCATTCTTGAGCGCAAGTTCTTCCTTCACCAGTCCCAGTCTGGCAGCTTTGTTCTCAGAGACTAAGCCAGCTTAGTCAATAGAGGTGCCACTGAGCCAGAGTACATTCCGTACCCTTGGCTCCCCCCAGTAATTCTTGCAATCAGCAGAAGGTTTCCTTTCTCAGGTCAGATTTGATGACTTAATGGGGTTAGGAATCAGTGATGATGACTCCCAGAACAAATCCCTCCTGATTGCAGGCCACTGTGCCACCACCTCTGATTGGGTCTGTCCAGCTGATGAGACGGAACATTCCCAGGGATGGTGAGTGGGATGTCTGGGTCATTGTCTGTAAATGATGATTCAGGAGTATGACAATGGCAGGCTGTTTGACTAGTTGGTGGGACAGCTGTCCCATTCTGGCAGGGAGCCCAGATATTAATAAGCAGGATTAGTACAACAGGGTTTTCATTTCTGGTGCCTAGGTCAATAATAGGATGTGCTGTCTGGTTTCATTCCTTTCTTTAGACTTTGAGATACACCTGAAAGGCTAGCTAGGCCATTTTAGAGGCCAGTTAAGAGTCAGAGTCAGTCAGACTAAGTAAGGATGGCAGATTTCCTTCCCAAAAGGATATTAGTGAATCAAATGAGTTTTTTGACAATTGGTTTCATGTTTTTTTTATTTCCAGACTTACCAATTGACTTTAAATTTGACCAGATAGAGATTTAGTGGAATTTGAACCCATCTTCCCAGAGCATTAGTCTGGGCCTCTAGGTTACAAGTTGAGTGACATTGGTATGATTCCACCACCTCCCCCAGCCCAACCAGAATTGCAGGTTTTCTGAATTTGACTCATCACAATCTCACTGAAGAGGAACAGGGTACAAAAGCCAATAGGCAAAACCCATCTGAAGTAGTTCAACAGGAATTTCACGACCAGGGAACACATTTTCATGGTGCGAGGAGAGAGATTTTGAAAAGACATAAGAGGCAAATTTTTTACACAGAGGGTGCTTTGCATGTGGAATGAACTTCCTGATGAAGTGGTGGATACGGGTACAATTACAGCGTGTAAAAGATATTTTGATAGATATATGAATAGGAAAGGTTTGGAGGGATATGGGCCAGGAGCAGGCAGGTGAGACTAGTTTAGTTTGGGAATACGTTCAGCATGGACTGGTTGGACCGAAGGGTGCATGACTCCGTGCTGCGTGACTCTATGACTTTATGACTCTATAACAATATTGTGGCCACAGTTCCCAATTCTGGACACCTGAAGGAGGAAAAATTTTGGGGTGAGGCGACCACTTGGTGGCAAGGGGCCTAGTGGCAGGAGAAATACATGAGCCTGTGATTTCTCTCTCTAGCCCTGCTGACACATTTTGCGATTAATTAAGTATTGAAATTACTAGCACAATTAAGCCAAATTTTGTAGCATGGCTGTTTGGAGTACTTTATGGTAATGCTTACTAAACAAGGTTTTTTATTTGTTTCTATTCCAACTTATTCTTAAGAAAAACTGGTAGGATATCTGTTATAAATAAATTCCAGTTACAAACAACCTTTTTTCTGTTAACTAAAGATTTTGTTTTCAATTGATTTCACTGCAGTCATCTTTTAAATGTCTCATGTCAATGCATAGCAAAACTGAACACTTGTGCTTTAGATTAAATAAATGGCCTCATTAGATTAGTGTATATGTTAATAATGTGGCAAGTTCATTATTTAACATTGATATTTTTACATTTCATATATCAGGGAATGCATTTTCTCAACTAAAAACGCAAATTCCTTTTTCACTGTGACACATGTGCCATGCTTATTTAAAATAGAGGATGAATGTAAACTTTTTAAGGCAAACATCTGAATCCTTTTCTTATTTCAATTAATCAGTTCCCTATTTAACGAATATTTCTTCACCTTGCATTTTGATAATGAACAAATCTTAATTTTTAAGACATTGTTTACTCTATAGGACAAGCGATTGAAAGTTCTTACCTTCTGCTGCTTGACTTCTTTGGTTTTTCAATGTACGATGTGTGGGAGTTGCAATTTTTACCAGTGGCTTGCTTATGTTTTAACGACCTGGGGTGCTTTCCATTTGCAATTTTGGACACATTGGCATTATTGAGATTGACATTAGTGGAATTTGGTGATACCTTTCCCGAAAAACTGTGATTAAATTGGTTATGTGATATAGAATTCTCAAGGTTGGACAAAGGAAGTGATTTTTCAGAATCGGTTATTGGTGGAGTTGAGGGTCGTTTAACTTGCAGGGGCCGCTGTGTAACATTTGTTTGCTGGACGAAGTTTTGTTCTTTTCCAGGGACATGGTTGACATGGTTGCCAAACAGGCCACCACTTCTCTGAAAAATGTCAAAAGAAAAATAGTTAAAATTGAGTTTCATTAAGAATTATTATAAATATGATATTTAATCTTTTAATATTATTATGTATATTATATTTTTAAAAACGTTTTTCATTCATTCATAGGATGTAGGCCAGACCATGTAAGGATGGTAGTTCCCCTCCCTAAAGGACATCAGTGAACCAGATGGGTTTTTCCAGACAATCGACAATGGATCATGGTCATTAGTAGACTCTTAAGTCCAGATTTGTATTGGATTCATATTCCACAATTTGCTGTGGCAGGATTCGAACCTCGGTCCCCAGAACATCACCTGGGTCTCTGGATTAACAATGCAGCGATAAATCAGTAGGCCGTTGCCTCCCCTTATATAATGACTTCTTTAAAACAAAAGCTTTTATTTCAAGCCCAACAAAAAAATTCTGCAATTTAATGAAGGGATTGGGTCAGATTGAAGACTTCCTGTTCTACAGTCGTGAGTGAGACAGACTGAGATTTCTGACCTTATTCTGGATCCTGGAGTCAGTGTCTCAGTATAATTTGCCTTTTTGGGAAAGCCCACCAAATATAGAGCAAACCAAGCACTTAACTGAGCAGTGGTGAGCTTTTGGGATCTAGGACCCTGGATCCTCAGTGCCTTCTGCTGCTGGCCTCTTCCTTACTGAACTTCATTTGCAACACCACCAGGGAGATGGTGTGTGCTGCTGGTAATCACTGAGGAACCCCGGCATAAGTAACTGATGTTGGCAGGGAAATGATGGGGTGGAGTGTCGCAGAACAGGGGTAAGGGAGCTGTCATAAATGTTAGAATGGCTCTCAATAGCATACTCAGTGCCTTTGAAAGAGGGATAAGTGTGTTTAGTAAACTGCAATGCAAGGAAGTAAATAAAGGAATGTTACAATGAATCAGGATTGGAAGAGTCTTAAGGCAGAAGGAATAAGCTGCCTCAGGGAATTTGTATGTGTCCAGATCCCCAGAGCTTGAGATGCTCCAGACCAGTATCTCAAATTGTACATAGCAATACTGGCTTAAAGTACAAGATAAAGCAACCTGCATGTTGAGTATTCTGCCTGCCACTATACAAATACCATGCATTATAATTGACAATCTCATTATTAACAGTAGGTCACTTAATAGAAGGTCTTATTGTTGTAATGCAGAAAGGATCTTCGTGGTATGTATAATGAATGACAGAAAATGAATGAAGAAAAAGCAAAAATAACAGTAACATAAATGTGCTGCTATAAAAGGGATGAATAATGCGTAAGTGATGGAAGTTCGAGTGAATGTGTATTGGTTTCTTTCACATGCAGAATGATGCTTAATCAAAACCTAATTGAACAATAGCAATAATATTTAGTTAAATTTACTTTTCTTTTTTACTTGTTGCAGAATTTTAATTGAAAACCCCCCAATACTTATATTTGAGTTAACTGTCCAACAGTATTAGATGTGTATAAATAATGGTTTCATTGTGCATATTGCTATGTCATGGGCCCATGTGGAGCTGACAGACTCAAAACTATACATTAGTAAATTGTTGTTATTATCAATTTTTGTTCTATTACGTTATTTCCATCATCACTTTATGACTCCCTCTTATTTGATCTGTGTTAACTCTCTCCTGCATCTTTTAAATTAGGTTGCTGGACTTTACAACAATGAGTGTAGGTTTTTATTCTTTATCTTTAAAAATACTTGAAGAATCCTTTAAGTAGAAATGACTGCAATGTTTGTTAAGCCAAATGGTCTGTTCAGTTCATGGAAGATGCAGGGTGTTTAGAGTAGTAATTTTCATTGCTTTTGACAATCACATTCTTGTTGGAGACTAAAAGGGTATTTTACAATTTGGATGCTAGTTTGCATTACATCAGGGAACCTATTGACAAGGTTACATCAATAAAAGCAGAATGTGTGATCTAAACGGCCTCTTTCTAAAATTTCCTGTTACAAATACAATAACAGAAATTTCATGAGACAGTTATTTATCACTATTACAGGGACATCCACAGCAGTGGCATACTGAGCAATAAATTTTTTGAACTTTCACTAATGTTCATAATAGAAACAGACTGCCTCCTTAAATAAAGCATAATCAGCTAGAATTTTTTCAAGGATGATGTCACAAAACAGGCAGTATCACTCAGGCCACCATGTATAGATCCTATTCATTGTTCAGTATCATTGATATCAACCACATGGTTACCAATCATGAGGAATTTCTACCTTAGTTTTATTAGCCCGGATATACTGGCTGCACTCCATTTGAAATTCTGTCTTTCTCTGATATTCAAAATAATACAGTGGATAAGCAAACATGTAATACTGTATACCATACATCCTAATACATGCAGACTGGTACTCAAGTTCAATGGATGCAAGAACACCCATTGTATCTAGTCAGAAGCTTTCTCCGTACCTATACGCCAAAAACTAACAAGCATTTTAAGGCTTATGCCAGCATGTGATGATAAATGGTGACTACAACATGCACCATCATCATGAGATGCCATTACATCATGTTCTACGATGGATTTCAGGACATTATGTCAACTCTCATTTTGACTGGACTACACCACATCCATACCACCAATTAAAATTATCAGTGGTATTAATGTGGTCAGATCTATCATATGTAGGAGTGTTGCACAATATTTGTAAAATAAATGCATAAACAAGGCTAATGCCAAGCTAACTGCTGTGTTTTATTTATACATCTGTAGATAAATTATTTCCATGTTCTTTCACTACAACAGTCTATGTAACTGAAAGTTTCTTGAGGGAACACAAAACAGGAATTTTAACTTACTCTGTATATATCCTCATCCTCTTCTTGAGTCCCCTCAATAATATCCTCTTCCTGTAGATCACATGAAATTGCTCTACGAATTTCTGGTCCCATGTCATGTAGAGTTCTAAGCCCAGCCTATAAAATAAAATGCATTATCTAGAAATGTCACAATATATTAGTATCCCAGACACTCTTCTGGTGACATGACTGACCATCTAGGCAAGTTGACTGCTTTTAGGTCTGTGTTAATGTTATCATCTAGGTAACCAAGGAAGGTACGCAAGTGTGAAGTGGGTTCAGTTCTCTCTCTCCCTTATCAAAGAGAAACATCTCCTACATCCACCTGATGTCCCAACTCAAATGGGAAGCTGCTGGTTTGAAATGATATACTTTCATTTTATGGTACAAATTGGTGAAGTATTCGGTTACTACATCAATGTTATCCAACATTTGGAGCAGAAGGTTGGATTCAGAGGTATAATCTGTGTGTCAGTTAAATGAGGACACAAGATGCAAGCATCCCACATAGAAGGAAGTTTAAGTATAAAAACTCTATAATTTTCATACAAAATTGGCTACAGTTTCTGGAAGAATTTACTTTTGCTGGTTTATCCATAATATTGCCTGTTTTCATACTGTAGACAAAACTCTGAATTCTCTGCCAACAGTGAGAACTGAGTATGCATCAACTGTGAACTGTAACAAGGAGTCTATTAAACATTGAAATAACACAGGTAAGGCAAAACTCATGGATTGCTTATAAAATTATTGTAAATTTGGGTGTTGCTGAATCACAAGAGCTGCAATCCTTTTTTGACTCAGAGAAAGTGCATAACTTTAGAGAATGATGGTCAGCTTTCTATTGTGCTCTCAGAAGGCTTTTGACAGGGAAACCATGATCTCAACTGTGGCTGACAAATAATGCAAAAAAAAAACAAAGGACTGTGGCAAGCAAAATAGCAACAAACTGTTAGTCAAATTCTGGATTCTATCCTCAAATAATCATTAGGAAAGAATGATAGATACATCTGAAACAAGATATTGTGACAAAATGCATTGGCATTATTCAATGAATCTTATGAACTTAATACATATATTTTGTTGAGAATTGCATTGCTCTGTCGATGACATCATCCCCCACCATTGTTCTTGTATTGTCAGACAGCATCTGATCCCAGAATGAGTCAAAATTTCCTCTAATTATATACAGGGAGACCAAGGTCTTTCTTTCTTTGGGTCTGCCGCAAACCATCCTCCCAAACCAGTGATCAACTGCTGAACCTACTTTCAACCTTCTGTCTTATCAATACTATTTGGGGGAATTGTTTCCTCCACAGACGGCTTGGTCATCTTAGGATCTTAGGCTTCTTGCTTCACCAAGAGGTGGTGTGAGAAGGGGATGGGAGTGGCAGTTAGGGGAAGACTCTATATGGTACAAAAAGAACAATTCTTCAATTTATTTTTTTAAAAACATACTGGCCACCGAACAATGGGGCAGTACAGTGGCTCAGTGGTTAGCACTGCTGCCTCACAGCAACAGGAACCTGGGTTCAATTCTGTCCTCGGGTGACTGTCTGTGTGGAGTTTGCACATTCTCCCAGTGTCTGCGTGGGTTTCCTCCGGGTGCTCTGGTTTCCTCCCATAGTCCAAAGATGTGCAGGCTAGGTTGGCCATGCTAAATTGCCCGCAGTGTTCAGGGATGTGTAGATTAGGTAGGTGGGTGGGGGTGGGTCTGGGTGAGATGCTCTGAGGGGCGGTGTGGACTTGTTGGGCCAAAGGGCCTGTTTCCACACTGTAGGGCTTCTGTGATTCAATGGGAAAAGTTCAGTTCCTGCTTCACCAATTATGCAATTTCGTAAAAGTGACCTAAACCAGCCATTTACATGTATAAGGTAAATGATAACTTTTCAGAAGCTGGCATGGACACCTGAAAAATATAATAATCTATTATTGTTTGGGCATCTTTCAGACAAAATATGGGTGCAAGATATTAGTTCCGAAATAGACCCTTGATGCATCCATTGTGTAAAGCAGGCAAAACAATGTCCAATTTCTGTCTCAAAGAGTGAGAAGCACTTAATTAAAAAAAGAAATCATTCATGGGATGCCAAGCCAGCATTTATTGCTCATTCCATACTGCTCTTGAGAACTGGTGGTGAACCACCTTCTTGATCTACTGCAGTCTTTATGGTACTTTTCCCTGCACCTTAATTTTCTTCTTTACCTGTTTTCTTCATTCCCTTTTAAACACTGTCACTACATCAGTTTTAGTCATCACATGGCTATACACTGCAGATTCAATAAACCTCTCAGAAGGAGAAAAGATGGTAAACTGGACCTTGCTTTATCCACTTTGCAGGTGCGGGGTGGAGAAAAATAAAAACACCAATTTTACGGTGTTATTTCCTGAGTATGAAATACATTTGACACCGTATTAACTAGGTAATATTCAAACACCCTGGAGGCTAACATGAACAAGTCCTGGTCCTTCCTCTCCCAGAAAGGTTTTTAGGTTTCTCAATGGTGTAACCAGAGCTCAGAAAAGGAACTGGTTGGAAGCTGCCACCTAAATTACAAATACATACTTTTAAACTTAACAGCTGCAGTTAGCTATACTGTACCACCATAAACTCCTGCTGCCCCATGCTAGCCATAATCCCATCCTCTTGCCCCTCCTCACTAACCCGTGTGTGTGGCTGGCAAGGAAGATAGCCTAAATATTCCTTTTTAGAACAGCGAGCAGCCTATGGACACATGATTCGCATTTAAAGCATGCAGGGAAGATGCTGATGAGGTCCAGTTGTGGCCTTGTGGCTTGAGTGTTTTCAGCAAGCCAAGCTTTCTGCACCAAAAGCCAGGCCACAGGAGAGGGGGACAGCAAATCATAGAATCCCTACAGTGCAGGAGGAGACCATTTGGCCCATTGACCCTCCAAAGAGCATCTCACCATATTCCATAAACCCATATTTACCATGGCTAAGCCACCTAGCCTACACATTCCAGAACACTATGGACAATTTCAGCATAGCCAATCAACCTAACCTGCAGATCTTTGGACTGTAGGAGGAAGCCATGCAGACATAGGGAGAACATGCAAACTACACATAGGCAGTTGCCTGAGCCCAGAGTCAAACCTAGGTCCCTGGTGTTGTGAGGCAGCTGTACTAACCATTGAGCCACTGTGCCGCCCCAAATTACACTTGCATGTGACCACTTTTCCACTCTTTAGGTGAATGGGGACAAAAATCCATCCAGGTCTTGGTGCATTCAGTGGATACACTCATTTCTTGATTCATTTCTTGTGATGGGACACAAAATTGCAAAAGAACAGGATTTCTTGATTAGTGCTTTTAAGCATGGATCCAGCACCTTATAGCTGAATCAGCATTTCTTTTTCTGAGAAAAATGCTTCTCTTGTTTAGTTTCTGGAACTGAGGCAAAGTTTAACAGTTCCCAGGTCGAAGGGAGGGCAGCTTTCTTTCACAGGAGAGCTCTGTAAACAATGTAAGAGAAATTCCAGAAAGGCTACTTTTTGTTTTTCAATAATGGGTATCCTGCTCAGTGAGCTGATGTAAAGATACTGTAGAGTGGTGGGTGGGTAGATCGATACCATTAATGCAATTAACAAATTAGACTCCCCATTGTGGGAGAAATTCAATTGTCAAGTTGAGTTTGTACTATTTTCTTTGCAGTATTATGCAATGAAACACCTTGAATATAAATAATCCCTCAAAGTGCTGCATTTACATCTCAACCCATTTGCTCACTTTACTTCAAGTGCAAGATAACCCATTTTCATGCCTATTTCACCTTCCAAACAACCCTTTTATTAAGAGAGTGGGGTCATAGAAAGTACTCATTTGCATTCTACCCATTTATGTCCTCTAATCTAGGAAAGCACAGTGCTTGATTGTCTGACCCTGACAAACCTCAGCAAACAGCTTTTCAAACATATTTTAGAACTTCAAGGCAGGGTGTTGTTGAAGAAAAATGTTGATAATTGGAGGGTTCCTCCCAAACGTCCAGGTTTTGACAAGCTTTAAAGAAATATGGACGTATTGGATCGCTGAGTGGCAGGAAATGACTTAAACTGCAGTAGTGGCTTGAATTGAATTTTTCAAAGCTGAATTAGAAAGATTTTTGATAGACAAGGGAGACAGGGGGTGTTGGACAACCAGTCAAGAAAGTGGAGTTGAGACCGCGAACAGATCAGCTAGGAGATTGAGCGATGCAGCAGCCTTGATGGGTGCTGAACCTAAATCTTATGTTCTTTTACTTTCTTTAGAACTTTTTACTTCTTATTTCATGGGATGTGGGCATTATTGGCAAGGCCAGCCCCTGTTACCCATCCCCTAACTGCCCTTGACCTGAGTTGCTTGCTAAGCCATTCTGAGGGCAGTTATGTGTCAAACACGTTGCAATGTATCTGGAGTCATATATAGGTCACAGCAGGAAAGGGGATAGGCAGGCATGTAAAGTAATCAAGGGTTCAGAAGAGATTTACCAGGATGTTAGTGGACTGGAGAGTTTTAGTTATTAGGATAGGCTGTGACATTTTTCAATGGATCGTAGAAGGTTAAAGGGTGATATTATAGAAATTTATAAAATCATGAGGGGCATAGATAAGGTAAATAGCAAAGGTCTTTTTCCTAGAGTGGGTGAGTTCAGAACTAAAGGGCATATTTTTAAGGTGACAGGAGAAAGATTCAAAAGGAACCTCAGGGGCAACTTTTTCACACAGTAGGTTCGTTTGTGGAATGAACTCCCAGAGGAAGAGGTAAATGCTGGTACACTTTCAACATTTAAAAGAATAGGGAAGGTTTAAAGGGATATGGGTCAAATGCAAGCAAGTGGGGCTAGTCTAGTTTGGGAAACTTGGTCGGCATAGATGAGTTGGACTGAAGGGTCTGTTTCCGTGCTATATGACTCAATGACAGAACATGCCCGAGGAGGCCCTATGTTTCTCTTCTATGTAGTTAGCAGGTGGATAAATAATCATACTGGGCACTGTTAAAAAATGTACTTCAAGAAGTTCTTGCATTATCTAACTATATGTTTTCTTTGTACTGCCATGGGGCTGCCTAAGAAGCTGTAGCACACCAGGAATGAGACAGAGCCCATCCATTTGCCACCAC